AGAGAGAGAGAGAGAGAGAGAGAGAGAGAGAGAGAGAGAGAGAGAGAGAGAGAGAGAGAGAGAGAGATGGACGGAGTGATGGTCAGAAGTACAGTGGGATGGATGGAGTGATGGATGATGGGGAGTCCCATTGCTTGTGAAATGCAGATTGATGCATGAATGGAGAGCCAACTTGTCCTGGACCGTAGACGGATGGATGAATGAATGGATCGATGGAGAAACTTGCTGATTGCGGAATGTGGGCGCAGAAAGATGAATGTGTGCAATGTGGACCAGCAGGGTCACCGTGGCTGTTGGACATTATGTGATTGATTGATTGATTGGTTTGTTAAAGTTGTTCAACATTATAATTTCGTTTCCTGCTTGCTCCTTCCATCCTGAATCAGATTCTATGGATCACCTTGTTATTTAAATAAAAAAAAAAAAAGGAAGAAAGGAAGAAAGAAAGAAAGAACAAGAGGTTCAGCTTGATGCTCTCACACTGTTGGACAATGGTTCACATGAAGAGCCGCTCTCAGTTTTGGATCTCCGAAATTGGTGGACTGAGGTTTGGAAATTGGTTGGTTCGCATTTCGATTGGCAGGCCCACATTCATCAGAATTGTGAAGGAGAAGGAGGTCGGCGATTTCTCCATTCTACCTTATATTGCCACATGGGTGAACTGTGTGGTATGGACTTACTTCGGGCTCCCGATGGTCTCAGATGACAACATGACGGTTGCGACGATCAATGGAATCGGTATACTCTTCTCCACGGTTTTCATCGTCATATATCTGCTGAACTGCAAGCCAGGTAGAAGGGTAAGTTCGCCGGGGCAGCACGTACATGCAACCTTTTTTTTCTTTTTTTTTTCAGTTAAGGGCCCAGTGCCAAAGGCAAAATGAGCAGTACGTACATGCACCCTTTTTGTGTGTGTGTTTGACAAATGTCGTGTTTCATAAAACCACCCGTACACCCAGGCCTGGCGGCGCCACAATGCACGCCAAGCATTGCCGAACCGCCAGCAGCAGACTCTTTTTTTCTCTTTCGGCTGGCGCTGCCAGCCATTTTGGTCTGGCAATCCCCAGCCTCCAGATTTTTTTTTTTTTTTTTTTTTTTTTTTTTTCCTGGCACCACCAGCTATTGTGGTCCAGGCAAAAATCTTGCAAGGCTTGGGCTGTGTACAGGCGGTTTTTTTTTTTTTTTTTTTTTTTTTTTTTTTCCAGAATCTAAGGAGTAGGTGATGAAGAAATCTTGCAAGGCTTGGGCCATTTACTGGCGGTTTGGAAAGGGCCCAGACTGGGTGCCCAAGTCTGAAAAAAACAGAAGTAGAGAGCATCGCGAAAACAAACAGGAGCCAATAGGTCTCAGACCTTCAACCCTCAAAAGGCAATACATTTTTTTCCATCACACAGCAAATCATTTTAACCACAGCAGATGGTCAGCCCGTACGTGTTCCCGACGTGTAATGAACTCTGAGCTGTGCTGAGCTTTTCTGATGAGCTTCAGTTAGTACTTCAAGTTTGCTTGTCATGATCTTCTTTTGTACTTGGTTGTTGCTTTGATCGTTCGAGCTCCTCCTTTTCTTATCTCCCTGTGGCTCTCATCTACTCTTTGAGCTGCCTCTCTCTCTCTCTCTCTCTCTCTCTCTCTCTCTCTCTCTCTCTCTCTCTCTNCTCTCTCTCTCTCTCTCTCTCTCTCTCTCTCTCTCTCTCTCTCTCTCTCTCTCTCTCTCACACACACACACACACACACACACACACACAAACTCCTCCAGCTGTGCAATCTGTAGAACTGAATGAACCTCCCCCTGCCGCACAACCTGTAGAGTCTGATGATATCGTAGTGCTACAGCGAGGCTACTGCACGTACTATGCCACAAACATTATTCCCATTAATGTTTGTCTCCTCGCTTACAATTGCAACCCCCTTATACTGTATCTGATTTTGCAGATATTGTCCGCTCCTGGCGTGAACATATAAGTTCTCTCTATGACATTCATGGGTAGGCAACTACAACTGCAGCCTGCCCCGCATAAGCACGTGCCAGGCATGGATCCGAATATTCGTGCGTACATCATTCAGGTCATTTCGGGGCTGTTACTTTTGTGGATAATTCGTGGACTCTATAGGACAATGGCAGTAGGGTGCACAGAGTGGGAAACATTAACTGTTTTCTATTACCAAGCGGTAGAACATCACTCGGTCTGGCTCGTCCATTGAGAACAGTATGCCGATGCGCACCCGCAACCTCTACGTCCTCCGGAGAGCAATCCGGCTGAACCACATTGTTCCCCTGTCAATGGCCAGGCAGAGAGTCATCCCTCTGTAGATAGGCCGGACTCTACGACGGACAGTGAAGGGGCCTCTCCAGAGGACGATGGCTGTGCCGTCCCATTCTGTTGTCACACAACAACAGTTCAGTTAGCATGCACATGGCATAGTCTCTGCTCCAAACACTATGAAGGGATGGACCTGGATGGTCACTGCCAGCCTCTGCCGCGAAAACTGCGATCCTTTTCGTCTTGTTATCATCCTTCCCACCCCCTAGTAATTGCTTGCCCGGCATGCCGTCGTGACCGCGACATGCCACGTCTAAATAGCTGTGAACATCAGCCTGCTTTCCTGCTGACATGTCAGCAACATGCCATGCATTGTCAGTGTATGTGTCCCTTTTGCATGGACTATCCCCTCTGTCATGCAGCTCAAAACCCCAAGATTCTGTATTTCTGACTGTTCGATCCTGGTAATCTTTTTTTTTTTTTTTTTTAACAATAATCTACAATCCAGATCAAAGAATAATTATGGGGTAACTTCAGTAGAGTCACAAAAACGAGTTTTTTTTTTTTTTTTTTCCTTTTCAAAAACGAGTTATAATTGCACTATGGGGCAAGATACAGTTTTCAATTGCACTTCAGGCACCCTACCTGGCCAGAAAGCTGGGCTGTATAGATTGCCCGAACTGCATTTCGAAACTGTTTGAATTCTTGGCCCCCACAGTGCAATTATAACTCGTTTTTGTGAATCCCGCGTATTTTGGCTCTCATGGAGTCTGTCCAAGGAGGTGAACTTCAAGCGCGCTGCGAACGGGTGGCCGTGCTGTACAAGCAGCCAATGAGATGATTCATGATTTTTTTTTTAATTTTATTTTGTTTTTTTCTTTCTCCCCTTTTTTCTAATTAAAAAAAGCTGCCTTGTCCTCATTGGGGGACAGCCATGCATTTTTCTCTCACCTCACATATTTTTTAACTGGCGTTCTGCCATGTCATGGAGCATAGGCAAATGCTCGGTCCTTGTGTCAGCAAGGGCCCCACCGGCGCCCCAACCCCGCACCCTAAACGCTAGGGCAGAGGGGCTAACATGCCCTTACCTCTCTCCACCGAGAGAGGTAACCTGCGTTCATCGAAGAGAGGTAGAAAGCTATGCTTGCAGGGGTCCCCTGTATAGCCTCAGGAGTAGTGGTAGGTAGTGAAAGAAAGATATGTGCCATGATTCATGATTTTGATCGGACGATCTTTGTGCCAGCAATTTTCCCTCTAAAGAATGTGTTCTAGTCCCATGGGCTCTCTATGATACAGGACTTCCACGGACTGTGGTTCATGCACAGATCCTTTTTTTTTTTTTTTAATTAAAGCTCCGATTTATTTTGTGGGGAGCAGCGCGTGATCAGCATCCTGAGACTTTGAAAGGTGACTGGTCACAAGACTAAATTAAATGGTGACAGCCCACGGTTGATGTGTTCATAACCTGGTGTCCATTGCAGACTGTCCTTCGCTGGAGAATTTCTCTTAAACCACCAGACTGAGTACCTTTGCCGTTTCGTTTCGGCAAATTTTAGCCTATTCCCGAACTTTTAGGGTGCCGGCCCCGATAACAGCTGTCGTGTCCTTTGGTGAAGAATTTCTCTTAACACTCTCATGCATGCCATCATTGCATGGTGGATGTGTCCCTTTTTTTTCACCTTTTGATTTTTTTTGTTTGTTTTTTCTTTTTGGTGTGTGAGAAAGTCCTTTTTTTTTTGTTTTTTTGCGGGGAATCGAGCCCGGCATCTCTTACAAAAAAAAAGTTTCTTTTATTTTTTTTTACACCTTTTGATTTTCGAACTGATGAGGTGCATCTGTTCTTTGGTCGCAGACTAAGGTATGGATATTGATCGCCTGCTCGGTCGCATTCGTAGTCATTTTGATTACTACAACGCTTGTGTTTGTGGAGAAAAGCAAACGGCCGAATATCGTCGGCCCTTTTGGACTCATCTTTTCAACTGCACTTTACGTAGCACCAACAATGATTTTGGTAAGTACCTGCTGTGTAAAAAAAAAAGAAAAAAAAAAAGAAGAAAAAGTACCTGCTGTGTCATGCCCTGTTTTCTGTCTTTGTTTTTTCTCTTTTTCTCTTTTTTTCTTGCCCCTAATTTACTTTGTTGTGTCCAGCAGGATTTGAGACAATGATTGTTTTTTTATCCAAAGACATAGCAAGTGTGAAGAACTGAGCCCCATACAGCTGGTTGGAGTATTCTCGCCTCTCCAGCGGCAAGGTCCCACTTATAAACTCACAGGAAGAGTGTGGCAGTGGGATTGGAGAAGTATACTCCTGGGTCATTGGGAACCTACAGATGGTCAACTCTCATCTTTTCAATATAACCTATATACGGCTGGGCGCACAGTGATGCTATGGATACTTTGGTATAGACGGTGCGTTCATGAAAGAGAAAAAGTTAGACTGGATAYTAAGGAAACAAATACAATTATGGTACAAATGTTACACACAGAGATTCGTTCTCAATGGGAAAAACTCAAAATTAAGTTAAATATGTTTCAACAAAAAAAAGATATCCACAACTATATTCGAGAATTTGAAAGAGATTGGCTGGGGAGAGACGAGGGCGGAGGTCTGGGTGAGGTGAAGTGGCCAGGAGGAACAGGGAYGGAAATCCTTTTCAAGAGGGACTTCCATCTCGAATTCAGGGACTGGTTCTCACTTCAAGCAGGCRATTCCCTCAGATCTCCAGATTTCTTCCCTGACCCTTTCCCTTCTTCAAAGTTATCATTGGTG